CTGCGTCTTCACTTTCTCCTCTGAGCTGAGCCCTCTTCTTCCAGGTGGCTCCATGGATCCACCACCATATGAAAATCTTTCTCTAATTGTTATCTTTTCAGTGAGATCATGTGTGCTCACATGTGTGTGACTGTGGGACCAGAGGCTGACTTGGAGTGTCCTCTGTTTTTCTCAATTTTATTTTGTGAGACAGGGTTTCTCACTGAAGCCAAAGCCCACTGATTCAGCTAGGCTGCTAGGTTAAAGGCCGCTGGTGATCCTCTGATGCCTATCCCCAAGGACTGGGACCCCGGGCTTGATGCTGCACCTGGATTTTCACATGGCACTAGAGATCCAAACTCAAGTCCCCATGCTTGTGTGAAGGCCAAGAGCTCTCACTCAAACTGTAACTGCACCCATCCATCGCTCACTCACTAGGCTCTTTGTCTAGCCCTCGGTAACAATTATTCCTGTCTTATAACAAACCTTTTATTGTTTTCTCCCTTTATGAAAAGGTAAGCACCTTGAGGGTAAGGATTCTCATCTGTTTTGTTTCCTGCTGTGTTCATGTTACCTTCAAACCCCCAGAGAATTAGTGAATGAATAAATGACTGTCTTCCTACTCCTTCCACTATACCATACAAACCAAAGTCCCTATAATAAAACAAGAATGGCATGTTTATTATTTTCACAAGTGGTTTCCTAGATTATGTAGGAAATGTACATAACAAAAATAGTGCAACTCGCTCTCCCTGGCGTCTAATTCCTGTTTAAATAGTTTAAACTCAACTGGAGCTGATGATGTAGCAAGCGCGGAAGGAGGCTGCAAGTGCCCTGTGGAATGCACGGCGACCGCAGCTCGGGGTTTTGTTGCAACTGCTGTTTGGCATTCTGTGTCAACCAGCCCTGCAATAGTGTATTTATAGATCCGAGTGTATTCTGTGTGTTATGTTTTTATCAGCTGGCAACCTGGTCCAGACTCGTGCCACAGGCACTTGAAGAACAGAGCAGGATCAGTTAGATACCCAGCCTCAGTGTGACCTTCCTTTAATTAAGTGTTAATTGCTTCGAATCAGCGTCCCATTTGAAGTGAACAAACTGGTCTGATGGAGGGAAAGAAGTCAGAGCAGTTGCTGTGTTTCCTTCTTTAGACAGATGATTTATGTTCAGAATGGAGTTTGATGTGACTCTCTTTGACAAACTACTTGTTCCCATTTTAATTGCTTTCTTTTATGTGTTGTATATGCACCAGCTTGCATGTGTAGTATACGTGTGCATGTGTAGTAAGTGTAGAATTGCCAGGAGCAGTACCTCACGTTATGCAAAGCTCAATAAGGCATTAGTTCTTCACATTCTCACTTTTATAAATGTGCCGAAATGTATCCCTCTTGAGTCTTACACCATCTTATGAGCAAAGAGCCAAAGCTAACATGGCTCTGGGCAAAATCTCCTAATACATGCATCATTTATTCAGCGTGGCTGCAATCAGAGTGAGCTCTTCCCACTCACATTGACAATGACTTTGACCTTCTTAGGAAACACGTGGACATGTTGGATGTTGTCAGTGTTTAGATACAGCTCTTTAGCTGAGAGGCCTCCAGTGCTCTCTCTAGAATTGTGTAAGTGTGTGTGTGTGAGAGAGAGAGAGAGACAGACAGACAGACAGACAGACAGAGGAGACACAGAGCGGTGCACACGTATGTGAGGTGTAAGGATAGGTGGTGAATGGAGCTGCCCTTTTTCATGCTGTCAAACTTCTAGAAGGCCCTGGATTTCTGCTGCTATCACACAACGTGATTGCCAGACTGGAGGCGTGTATTCAGTTCTCCTAATTAACTGTGTGGTCAAAACCAACTGCCAAGGTCGACCGAAGAAAAAAAAATGGCAAAGGGAGAGAAAGCTGCCTGGTTAGCAGCTGTGGTTTTACCTAACTGCCTACAGCCAGTAGGAAAAATGGCCAGCACTGTGACCAGCTATTAGTCTCTGCATTATCTGTAATCTGCCACCAGCAGAAGCTTCCCTGAACAATGCTGAGACTAGTACTAATCCGTGGATATAAAAATATAAATATTTAGAAGGCAATTTTGTAGCACACCTATTCAGAAAAACAGCAGTAGTAGCTCCCCTCCCCCAGAGCCTGTGTATCCCTGCCCATGCACTTCTGACTGGGTTTATTGTGCCGGATATAAATTCCTTCATGTAGAGCAGGACTCAAATCCAATCGGAAAGCAGCTGGTTACCCACATAATAGCCATGCCACCAATGCACCATAGTTCTATGCTGCTGACGAGTTGGCAGTATAGCTCACAGGGTTCACTGACGAGCAAGATGAAAGCTATAATAACATATATAATATATATAATAATGTGCTGGGAATAAGTTACTGCTGACTGCTCATCTTTGTCACGTACTCCAGGAGTCAGGGAATGTGGCAGAAGAATGCACAGAAGGATTTCCCGAGCAGGAGGATGGAGAAGATGGCTGTGAAATGCAGTCCTCTGCACACGGCATGGCCTCTGCACCCATGAGATCATAGGGAACACATGCAGGGTGGGCCCATCAATGTCCATCACAGTGGGGGAGAGGCTCACCCTGAAGCCTCACTCCTCCCCGGAGCGCTGTTAGCTGGTGATCCAAAAATAAAAACAAAATAACTCCATACCTATAAGTCATGCAAAGAACCCTAATTAAACTTAGTGTGTCATAAAATGCAAAAGAACTCTAGAAGAGGAGGAGTTTCATCGGGTGGGAAGGAGATGAAAGGGAGGGGTAATGGGTGTATGAAGATCATGATGCGGAATATGAAATTGTCAAAAACTAAAATTACTAAAGGATGGATGGGAGAGGCTGGAACAGGCTGGGTCTGGGGCATCTCCACAAGGAGGAGCTGAACTGATGGGAAATGCGTGGAAACTGATGCTGTGCTCACAGTTTGATGTGGCTTTTGTTTATTTTTAAAGTCATAAGCAAGGGCTGGAGAGATGGCTCAGTGGTTAAGAGCACTGGCTGTTCTTCCAGTGGACCTGGGTTCATTTCCCAGCAACCATACGGCAGCTCACAACTGTCCGTAACTCCAGTTTGGGGATCCGACACCCTCGCACAGATACACATGCAGGCAAAACGCCAATGCACATAAAATAAAAATAAATTAATTAACACAAATAAAAGACAAATAAAAGATCATAAGCAGAAGCAAAAACAACAGCCTGCACCTCCCCAATCCAACCATCTCGTTATGGGATTGCGCATTACATTGCTGTCACTTTGTCTTGGCTCCACGGATGACCACAGTAACTTGGTCTGTCACTGACACAACCCAAGTCCGTTATTGTAAAATAATTGCATAGGTGA